GAACCAAAGACATAAACAGTGGGATACACATGATTGGATCAATTACAAGATTTGCATGAAGCTAGCACAAAGGCACCAACAGAATTTTGCTAACATTATTCCAGCATAAGTGAGACTTTGGCTGATGCTTTCAGTTTATATGCAAATATATGTGTACACAGCAGAAATTACATGAAGTATAACCAAACCCAGAACTTTTTTCAAATTACTTCTTTAAGGAAAGAAACATCAAGTAGCAAGCCAACAATTCAGCAAATTCGATTTTTTTTCCATAATTAGATGCAAAAGCTTACTTTCTAACAAGGATGCCTGTGAAACTACAAAACAGTGTATGATAAAAGACTTGAAGAATTTACCTTTTCTAGAACTGTTCTGATTCTTCTTAGTAGTGCTGCTGTCTGCCTTCTTGACATTGGCACCCTTCACAGGTTTCTTGGTTTTAGAAGTCATCTTTTTAGATTTTTCTCTTTTAGATGCTTTTCTAGGGGGCTATAGAGAAAATGGGAAAATTAAAATTATTATTTTTACTCAAAACATCCAAAACCTCTTTCCCCCAAAGGAAAATTGTCCACTTAATCCAGCCACTCCATGCCCAAGATTACAACAGACCTGGTGCAGCCAAACAGATATACTGCTTACATCCTTCCACTTGTAGCATACTAAAAGCTGCCACAAACCAAACTTTTAAAAAAGTGCTGCAATCAAAGCAGCTGAAATAATTTTCCATTTCGCCATGTCCTACATTCAAACTGATTTGGCAGATGAATGTATTTTTTAATAACTAAGCTTTTATTCCATGCATGTAAACTTTAGTTTCTAAATACTTCAATCCACTCAGCTATTGCCTGGCAGACATATCTAATTCCTACCTCCTGAAAGAAGGCAAAGATGAACCACCTAGCGCAATGGGCCTTTTTGTTTGTTAGAATTTTGTTTGTTTGGGGGTTTTGATCTTTTATTTTTTAAATAACTGAGGTTTTAAAAAATTTTCTGAAGACAGTTCCTGCCCCGAAACAGATATTCCTCTCCTCATACTAGAAACACTGTCTGTCTCCTGGAAGAGATGAACAAATACATCACCTTTTAATATTTCTTCCCTCTTTCAATCATTTATAGG